AGGTATAACTCATAGACAAAAGCTACTTTGGGTTCTCAGTAATTTCTGAAGCTGTAAAGTGAAATTGAGATCCTAAACTTTGAGAAGTGCTGATTCAGAGTTATGTTTGGGATGGGACCAGCTCTCAGGCCAGGTGACTCAGGGTTAGTTATCAGGAAACAGTTTACTAGAGTTGAAATTAGCTATTGGCCCCATTTACATTATATTTGTTTCTGCTGTTTCAGTACTGCATGAGTTACTTCAAAATGCCTGCTGTGTAGACTCCGTATGTACGCGTAGCCTGAGAATGGTAGGGTTGGCAGTTGGGAATTAGAACTAGAGGCTGTTGCATTCCAAGTATGTGTGCAGTAAGATTTGTAGAGCCTCCTGATTACTAAGATCATTATTCTTTTTGGTTGTTTGTTCCTCTAAAAATATCTCATTTTCCTTAAAAAGGAAGTGATATCTTTTAAGGAAACATCGCTGGATTGCTTGGATCTTCAAAAGTTGTAAAATTTGGCTTTCCTTAGCATGATAAGCCATTTCTAATGATTTAGTTTGGGTGGATAAGACTTTAGAACCTGAACATTTATGCTCATTGCCAAATTATCACCTTTCATCTGACTTCACAGAGGAATTGTCTCCTGGTGGTGAAGAGCTTTGGCTCTAGAGTCAGACAGATTTGGGTGGAAACTGACTCTGCCATTTACTAGATACAAGATGATTTATCTTGGACATGTATGTAACTCAGTTACAAATTATTCTTAGTTTACTAATTTGTGAAATAGGATGATAATTATGCCATCTTGCTGGTTTATGGTGAGGGTTAAATGAGATAATGCATATAAATAAAGCATTTAAGACTGTGCCTATCAGGTAACTATAAATGTTAGCTGCTATTATTAACACTATCATTAATCATAATGATAATTATAATTATTATTATTAATATCATTAATCATAATTATAAGTTAAAACTTGAATGATGGAAATTCTAAAGAGTTCTAATGTCAAATAAGTTACCAACATTTATCCACAACTCAAGATCCTTTTTATGTACTTCAAGGAAATAGGACAAATGGGAGGGACATAGATTAAAGTCTGTTTTTGGTGTACTTTTTAGAATTTGTTTCTAACATGTTGGAATCACTCTGTGTCTCTTAATGACATGCTACATTTTGCTGTAGCTATTTGTGTACATGACTTCTCTTTCAGCTAGTCTGAAGCCACTTTAGGATAGGGTCTTTGTCTTACTCCTTATTTTCAGTCATGAATATAGAAGCTATAGCAGAATGAAGGAGAAAGAATTTGGGACTTAGATTCATATGAGACCCTCTTCTGAATTCAGTGCTATTTGAATTTATTAGCTATTTGAAAGGACCCGATTATCTCAATAGGAAAATAGAGATAAATGTGTATTTCACATTGTTGTTAGATAATTTTATGAACAATTATATGTGAAAACACCTTGTAAATCAAGATATGTGACACCAATGCTAGTTATTACCATCAGCCATAAACCCATTTGTTGAATGAAAGAACAAATAGTAAAAACAAAACAGAAAGAGAAAAAGCTTTAAGACTTTACTAAACTTCAAGCTCATTCCTTCTATATCATTCAACATAATATAGATGAATCTGAATTAAAAGAATTAGATTCTCAACTTCAAGATGCTATTGAGAAGATGAAGAGGCTTGATAAGATATTGGTGAAGAGACAATGTAGAGAAAAAGAAATTAAGAAGCGAGGTCTAGAATTGAGAATAAAGCTGTGGGAAGAACTGAAGGTAAGAATTGGAAAACCGTATGCTGACATGTAAGAAACAACTTCCTCCGAGATGAGTAAGAAAAGGGTGGACTCTGGTAGTGTTAGTGTGGTGGGGGAGTGGTGAGGGAGGTGGATTTCTGGAGCTGGAGAAGGTGACTTTGCAGCATTCCAGATTCCAGGCGCTGCACTTGTGTGTTCACTCCCCACGGACAGCAGACAGCACAGTAGGCTTCTCTCACCTGTGTCTGGCTGAGGCTCCTCTATCTCTGGAATAGAAAGGGATGTGGTACCTACTTTCTATCAAGTAGGTTTGTCTGCTTTTTCTTCAGCAAGCTTCCAGTTTGGAGAAAAATACACAAATACACAAAAATTTCACCCCCTGGTTTCCATTATTATTTGCATAAACTTTTGTGACAAACAAGCAGAGTTGACTGTTTCCCATGCTGGTCAAGATCTCTTTGGGAAGCTGTGAAGTGCTTGTGGTTTGTGACTATGCTCTGTTTACTTCTGTCTTAATGAATTTCTAGTGCTCAATTAACTTCCCTTGGCCTCCTTGGACCTTTTGTTCTCTGTAGTATTGAGGGGTGGAAGTTGACCAGGTGTTGGTACTGACTTCATGTGTAGCGATTAGCTTATATTTGAACTTTGCCCCTCAAAGGAGAGCACTTTTAAGGTAAGGAACATTGTAATAACAGATTTATTGCTTTTGATAAATCCCTCCTTGATTAATTGACCGATTTCTGAAGAAATTTCCTGGACGATGAGATGAATTAATAATGAGATAATTAAGAATACATTTTTACAAGGTTCCCTCGATGGCCAGGTGGAAAAAAGGAATATATAAAGTACGGTGCTTTAAGCTAGAGAAGTAATTTGTGTGAATTTTTTAGCAGAAAAAGTTAGCTTGTCACTTATTTCTATTGAATCTCAAAGCAAATTTTAACTGGCTTGGAGATATGAATTATAACTGTAATCATGATAAAATATAGCATCAATTTTGAAATGCCTGAAATTGTAATTTGATGACGTACCTTTAGGTTACTCATTAGTTATAGAAACATTTAACAGAAACTTAAGATACTTTAAACAGGGTAATCATATAATGATAAACATATTTCAGCTCTATCTGGGAATATTCATTGATAGAATTTTGACGAAACAGGAAACATTAGCAGATTTCTTAATTAAAGGAATAAAAATAACCTGAGACTTCTCATTTATATGCACATGGTTGGAAACCGTGTTGAAATTTTCAAAAATACCAATAAGTATAGTTGCCTTCTTTTCCTATGTTTAAAATTTTACTTCTTTTTTATTAGTCTGCAAAAAATAGTGAAGCTTTGCAAAGTAATGAGGAGATGGAAAATACAAAAAAATTTCTAGCTTTGACTGCTGCATCAGAAGAAACTGTTGGTGAGTAAAATTGATTCATCTTTTTTTTTTTGTCTCAGAGTCATAGAATATTTGGGTTAAAGTAAAATTCCCAATTCATTATTTTTTCTTTTTCTTTGAGTTTAACTCTTCTTTAGGGGAAATCATCACGTTAGATAGGACTATATGGAACTACCCAGAGCTTGGATATGTTTCAGAGTCTTCTAGGTGTCTGCTCAAAGGTGAGGGGGACAGGGCAGTGAAAAATTGGGAAATAGACAAAGTATGTCTTCGCCTTTCCTTCCTGTGCCTCTTAGATCCCTGTAGACACCCAGTTTATGCAGACAGTCCCCTGAATGCCTAAGATCATCCCACGAGGTGTCTCACTCAGGCCTCTACAACCTTTCACAAAAATTCATTACTGATTTGTCCTTTCTCTGCTCTCTCACAGTCTGGCTTTATGAGACCAGTCAATTAATTCTCCTCATGTGTTCCTATTTCTCCTCCTTGTGTGGATATACAGTTGACCCTTGAACAACATAGTGGTTAGGAGCACCAACCCCTGTACAATTGAAAATCCAAGCGAACCTGGGCAGTTCAAACTTATGTAGTTCAAGGGTCAGCTGTGTATTTGTGATTGTCCTCTTCCTCCTCCTTCTTTTCCTTCTTCCTTCTTCTTTTTCTTCTTCTACAGAAGTACTGTGGAATCATATAGCCTATTTTAACCTACTTAAATGCTGTTGAATGTTTTAGTGATTGGGATGCAGTTGATATTTTTTGGCAGGACACTTTTAAAATCCTTTCACCTACATCATGGAAATGGTCATATAGTACTGCTTGGGCATTAGGCTGGCTCCAAGCAGGGGCCTCTGATTTCTCTGAGAATCCTAGAATCCATTTGTCTTTTACAAAGTGAGTAACATTTTAGAATCCCAAGGACCCAATTCAGGCTACTACAACTTTTTAGCATGAGTTTTGATGTGGATGAGATTTCCTTCAGGTTGGTTTCTTTCCGAACCCAGCACTGAGAACTCAGAAACTACATGGGCCTCTTTTTATGCAGAGAGACAATGATGCTGGCCAGTTCCCACCCATAGTGAGTTCGCTAAAGATCCCCAACATTCATGTCCACCAGAAACCTCAGAATGTGACATTATTTGGAAATAGGATCTTTGCATATGTAGTTAAGATAAGGTTATCCTGGAGTAGGGTGGGCCCTATATCCAATAACTCATGTCCTTATAAGAGGAGACACAGAGACATAATGATATAGGGGAGAAGACCACATGACGCTAGAGGCAGAGATTGGAGTAATGTAGCTACAAGCCAGGTAACACCAAGGATTCCTGGGAGCCACCAGAAGCCAGGAAGAGGCAAGGAAGGATTCTTCCCTAGTGACTTCAGAGGGAGCATGGTTTTCCCAACACCTTTATTTTAGATGTCTGGATTACAGAACTGTGGCAGAATAAACTTCTGTTGTTTTCAGTCACCCAGTCTATAGTATTTTGTTACAGAAGCCCTAGAAAATTAATACACTGACTTCAGTGAAGTCACCAGAGGTATGAATGAAGGAGCAACCTTGCACATTTCATCCCTAGCGAGGACGGTGTAGAGAATAGCCAAGGCTTTGTGGGTGGCCTTCATGGAGCTTCTCCAGACGTCCTCAGCCAAATGCAGCCACCCCAGCTGAGACCCCATTCATGATGGAACAGAGATAAATTGTTTCTGCCATGCCCCTCAGCTGACTGACCCACAGAATCATGGGCATAGTAAAATAGTCATTGTTTTATGCCACTACATTTTTTTCTTTTTATTTAGAAATAATTTTAAACTTACAGAAAAGTTACAAAATAATACATAGAGTTCTCATACACTTTTCACCCAGCTTCCCCTAATGTTAGCATCCTGTATAACCACAGTCAAATGATCAAAGTTAAAAAATTAATATTGGTACAATATTATTCATTATTGGTAGATCTTCTTCCCATTCATCAGTTTTTCCTCCAATGTCCCTTTTATTTTCTAGTATCTGATCCAGGACCCCATATTGCATTGAGTTGTCATGTCTCCTTAGTCTTCTCCAGTTTCTCGCAGTTCCTCAGTCTTTCCTTATCTTTCATGGTCTTGACACATTTGGAGAATATTGGTTGGTATTTTGTAAAATATCCTTCAATTTCGGTTTGTATGATGTTTTCTCTTGATTAGATGAGGGTTAAGCATTTTTATCAAGAATACCCCAGAAGTTGCGTTTTCTCAGTTGATCGCACTCGGGGTACCTAATGTTGATGTATTTTATTACTGGTAATGTTAACCTCCAAAACTTGGTTGAGGTGGTGTCTGCCAGCTTTCTCCACTGCAAAGTTACTATTTTCCTTTAGCAGTTAATAAATATCTTGAGGGAGATGCTTTAAGCCTATGCAAATATCCTGGTCCTCTCCAAACTTTCACTCACTAATTTTAGCATCCATCAGTAAATTTTGCCTGCAGTAATTATTACTCTATGTCCCTAAATTTTGGGTGACTTTATGTAACAATAGGTAACTGGAGTGATTTTCATCAGCATTATTTTCAGTGACTGTATATTAATTCACTATATGGTTGTACCATCATTTGCTTGACTAATACCCTGTTAAACATGTAGATTACTTCCTTTGTTTTCCAGTTTTTTTTCAATTATACACAATGCTGTAGTAACGTTCTTAGGCAATTATTTCCTTATTACCTTTTGTGGTAGGCCAAAAAAATGCACCCCTCCCCCCAAGATATCCATGTCGAATCCCTAGAAGCTGTGAATGTTATCTTATTTAGAAAAAGGGTCTTTGCAGATATGACTAAATTCAGGATTTTAAGATGAGGAGATAACCCTGGAATATGAAGGTGGGCCCTAAATGCCATCATAAATATTCTCATAAGAAGGAGGCAGAGGGAGAAGAGATACAGAGAAGAGAAAAGGTGATGTGAAGATGAAGGCAGAGTGGAGTGGTGTGGCCTCAAGCCAAGGAATGTTGGTACCACCAGAGACTGGAAGAGGCAGGGAACAGAATCTTTCCTAGAGCCCCTGGGGGGAGTGTGGCCCTACTAACACCTTGATTTCAGACTTCTGGCCTCCAGAACTGTGAGAGAATACATTTCTATTGTTTTAAGCAACCAAGTTTGCATTTATTTGTGACAACAGTTACAGGAATCTAATATACATCTTTAAATAAATTCCTCTAAGAGAAATTACTTAGTCAAAGAAATTGGACTTTAAATTTAAAGATTTTTATCCATACTGATTTATTGAAAGGTTATACCAATTTAGCTTCCCACTAACACTGTATCTGAGGCATTATTTTCCTATACCTGCTGCAACATTGGACTTTGTTTTAAAGCTTTGTTAATTGAAAATGGACTCATGGTAATTTGTATCTCTCTGATAATCAGGCAAGTTGAATATTTATTTTTTCATTTCACATTTTATGAACTACTTGTTCTTTTATAAAGTAAAATGTTCCTTTTTATTAATTTGAAGGATTTCTTGACATATTAAGGAGACTAATTCTTTGTAAGAAGTATCAAAAACACTTTTTTCTAACTTATTTTTCTTTTGTTTTATGGTATTTCTTAACATTTGTATTAGTTAAACCAGTCATTTCTTTTGTTATCGTTAATTGTTGCTCTGCTTACAAAAAGGCCTTTTCCACTTTCAGATTATATAAAAATTTACCTGTGGTTTCCTTCAGTACTGTTATTATTTTATGGAATAATTTAAAATGTCAGTCTACTTGGAATTTGTTTTGGTGTCACATATGAGGTAGATTATTTAGTTGTTTTTTTTTTCCAACTTGTTACTGGTTATTTGAAGACCTTTTATTGGATAATCCATAGTTCCCACTTATTTGGAATGCTAACTTTATCATGCACTAATTGGGTCTATTTTTCTAAGCTTTCAGTTCTTTTCCATTAATATTTCTGTCTGCTGATATTAGTATTGTTTTGTCATAGCTTTGTCATACCTTTTATTAGGACAGATATATTGCTGTCTTTTTCAAAAAGGTTTTTGGAATAACATGTTTTCTTAAGCTTGTTTTTCTCTGTGAAAGTTGTTCAGCAATGACAACATTATTTAAGAAAAAAGACTGCAGAACACTTGAAACCTATAGCTTATAAAATGTGTTTTTACTAATTTAAATGTCTGAAGACTATTGTATGAAGATAATCTCTCTCAAAAAGTACAACTTCTTATATTTTCTTTACTGTCTCTCAGTAATTGTACACCTTTCTAGAATTCAGACTACACTCCTTATTCTAGTGAAAGAACACAGACAGTGTCAGGAATGTGATTCTGGATGTAATAGTATCTCAGCATCTGTATTTTAGAAAGCAGGAGCTAAATGCTGATTTCTCCAGTGAGGCATTTCTAAGAAGCCATACCTGCTTGTGGCTGACTCTAAAGCAAGGACTGTAAAACAGGCCACTCTGGAAGGGGATTGATGGTGGCCCTTTGACATTAGCCTTTTCAGTCACAGAGTTTACTACTGAGTGAACTTTTGGCCCTGGAGGGCAAGTACTTCTGTTCTCAGCTGGCCTTTCTTCACAAACAAATCTGGATTATTGAATACATTTAATTTTTTAATAATATTTAATTACCTGTGTATTTTTTAAATTGAAGTATAGTCAGTTTACAATGTTGTGTCAATTTCTGGTGTACAGCATAATGGTTCAGTCATACCTATATATACATATATTCCTTTCATATTCTTTTTCATTATGGGTTGCTATAAGATATTGAATCCAGTTCTGCATGCTATACAGTAGAAACTTGTTGTTTATCTGTTTTATATATAGTAATTAGTATCTGCAAATCTCGAACTTCCGATTTATCCCTTCTCACCCCCTTTCCCCTCTGGCAACAGTGAGACATGGAAACAACCTAAATAGTTGTCCATCGACACATGACTTGATAAAGAAGTTGTGGTATATTTATACAATGAAATACCACTCAGCCATAAAAAAGAATAAAATAATGCCATTTGTAGCAATGTGAATGCGACTGGAGATTG